CTGCATCTGTTCCAGCCCCTACCCACCCCCCACCACCCCCATGAGAGGGTGATGTGGAGATAAAGCTGAGAGAGATCTGAAGATGCTGGCATTGAAGATCGAAGTGATGTGGCCATAAGCCAAGGAATGCTGGCAGCCATCAGAAGTGGGATTCTCTCCTAGCACCTCCAGAGGGAGCACAGCATTGCCTACAAGCTTGATGTTGGTCCAGTGAGGCTTATTTCCGCCTCCTGGCCTCAAGAACTGCAAGAGTTTAAGTTTTTGTTGTTTTAAGCCATTCATTTGTGGTGATCTATTATAGTAACTTTAGAAAGTGAACACAGAGGATGTTTGGATGCTGTCCTTTTGTCAAAGTGCATAAGTTGCAGGTTGAATTGTGTCCCTTACAGATTCTTATGTTAAAGTTCTAACTCCAGTATTTCAAAATATAACTGCATTTAGAGACTGCATGATTGCAGGTGTAATTAATTAAGATGGGGTCAGAGGAGTGGGCCCCTAATCTGACAGGTGTCCTCACAGAAAGGGAAAATTTGGGCAGAGAGAGCAAATACAGGGAGAGCACCTGGTAAAGATTAGAGTTATGCTGACACAAGTGAAGGAACTATGCTGCCACAGGTCTCCAGGCACTAGGAGATGGGCCTGGAACAGATCCTTGCCTTGCACCTCCAGAGTCAGCACGGCCCTGCAGGCACCGTGATCACAGCCTTCCAGCCTCCAGAGCTGTGAGACAATAACTTTCTGTTATTTAGTCTGCCCAGTTTGTGGCCCTTCCTGTGGCATCCCCAGGAAATGAATACAGTTCAGTTATGATTACGGAGTGGTCTTGCTCTCTCATCTTGCTTGATCATGGTCACAATGGCCTTATCTGATGTAGGTGTTCTGTGAAATTCTTTATGTTCAACAGGAAAAGACCAAGACTCGCTTCAAGCGGCGGGCCACCTCTCCCAGATGCCTTCTTTTCTTTTTTTAACCATAAGGTCTAAACTCATCTGATAAACGTTCACTTGATTTTGTCTTTAAAGGTTTTAACTAATTCTTTTTTTAAAAAATTGGGATATAGTTGCTTTACAAAGTTTTGTTGATTTCTGCTGTACAGTGAAGTGAATCAGCCATATATGTATGCGTATATCCCCACCCTCTTGCACCTCTCTCCCACTGTACCCCATTCCCACCCATCTAGGTCACCACAGAGCATCCTTTTTTAAAAAAACATTTAAGAGGTGGGATGGGGTTGGAGGAGGGTTAAAGAGGGAGGGGACACATGTGTACCTATAGCTGACTCATTTTGATGTATGGCAGACGCCAATGAAATACTGTGAATCAATTTTCCTTCAATTAAAATAAATAAGTTTTGGGGAAAAAATTTACCTCCTCGATGCACTTGGCATTTATTTTGGAGTAGGGGATGGGGCCAGAGGTGTGTGGTCTCAAGTAGAGGCCAGGAGGGTAGAAGTGATTCGAGATGTAGTTTGAAGGCTGAACTTGCTGGGGTCTGTGTAGACCTAGTCGTCTACAAAGCTGATTTCCACTGATTGCTTCAAGCTGGTTTGTATATAGAAATAACCTCAAAACAGTCCTTCAGAGCATTTAGGGGGTCATTTATTTCTCTTCTTCCTTGTTATTTTTGATGGAAGGAAAGGATACAACATGTCTTTTGTTCGAACATGCCATAGCTGTGAGCACCTTCTCAAGACAGTCATTAATTCAGAGGGTAAATTCATCAGGAAAAAACCCTCCCAGAGCCCCCACGTGCCCCGGGCATCTTCTCCATCTATTTGGATAAGTGCAGCTCAGGATCAATTATGGATGAGGCTCTATGGGAAATGAGTAAGTGGGCTGTTGCCGACTTTGAAAAATTAATGGGAGCTGATTAATACAAGAGTACACTCTCTCTTCCTCGACTCGGGAAGGCTCAGGTCTCTGTGGAAGCCCCAGGTGGGGGCAGCACCCCCGTGTCTGTGCGAGGTCAGGTTTGGTTCACAGAAGTGTGCTTCAAAATTATCTACCTCTTTGACAGACAAGGATACCGAGGTCTATCAAAGATAAGCAATTTACCCAAATAGCAAAGAAGGAAAGACAATAGTCAATTCTTTTAAAAATAAAATTTTTTTTTTTTTTTTTTTTTGGCTATGCTGTGCAACTTGTAGGATCTTAGTTCCTTGACCAGGGATTGAACCCAGGCCATGGCAATGAAAGCCCAGAATCCTAACCATTAGGCAACCATGGAATGTCCTTCCTTTTTAAGGCTGAATAATATTCCATTGCATGTATTGCATATTGTTTATTCATTCATCCACTGACAGACATTTGGTCTGTTTTCCCTGTTTGGCTATTATGTGTAATGCTGCTGTGACCATGGATGCACAAAAATCTCTGAGACCCTGCGTTCAGTTCTTTTGTGTATAGACCCAGAAGTAGAATTGCTGACCAAATAGTCATTTCATGTTTACTTTTCTTAAGGAGCCACCATATTGTTTTCCACGGCTGTAGTCTTACATTCCCACATGCAATTGCATAAGGGTACCAGTTTCTCCACATCCATGCCAACACTTGTTTTTACTTGGAGGCTCTTTTTTTTAATAATAACTGTCCTGATGGTGATTAAATAATTTTAAAATATAAACTATATTTATCCCAACAAAAATTGGTAAGAAGAGAGTCACTGTTTTATAGTTTTCAAATTTTTTCGATGTCTGACTTAATAGGCAGCTGAATTCTCAGATCTGCTTCTGTATTTCATCTGTGGTCCCATCACATGCCACTCAGCCTCTGGAAAACTCCACGGTCCACTCATGAGAGGAGAGGGAGAAAGGCAAGTGATATGGTCATGTTATTAGCAAAATAGTTTTGACTTTGCAGACCTCAGCTTTAATTATCAACTCAAGGTCAATCTTGTTTTTATCTCTTCTTCCTCCTGTGTGCTCCCCAACATCATTTTGAAGCAAATCAATAACCATCAATTGTTACCGGTATTGTATTAGTTGCTTTCCGCATTGCCTTCTCAGTCCTCACTTCAAATCTGTTTTATTAGCATGTATGAGTATGGTTGTTTATTTGAGGGAACCAGGCCTCTGAGATGTGAGGAAATTTTCCCAGGTTCATGTTTCTGGAAGCTGATGACACCCAGGATGGTGCCCAGGTCAGATCTCTATTACACAGTCTCCTAAATTTGACTTCAGACCGTGAGAGCTACTCGGGCTGTGGCCTGTTTCTTTTTTCCACTGGGACTTTGGGGGAAGGCACTGGTTTTCTTCCCTGCCTCCATCTCTCATATGTGGGTGCTCTTTCAGTAGATCTTTAAGAAGTCCTCTTGTACCTCGTACCTCGTTGGACAGAGGGCTGAGTTGGTTGCTGCTGTGTGAAGCAATTATGAGTAATTTCTTTGTGAATGAGCTGAGAAAGCATTTGCCCTCCCCATTCTGAGGCCCAGCCCTGGAAGAGGAGGAAAAACAGCAGAAGAACCGAGGCTGGTGGGGTTTGGTATAGTCTGCTCCAAAGGATCTTCTCTGGGTTGGGAAGACCCCCTGGAGTAGGAAATGGCAACCCACTCCAGTATTCTTGCCAGGAAAATCCCATGGACAGAGGAGCCTGGTGGCTATGGTCCATAAGGTCACAAAGAGTCAGATACGACAGAGTGCACACATGGCCTCACAGTGGCAGCTCCAGTTGGAGCCAGGAACACCTCCACTCACTACAGAATCATGACATCCAGAGATGATGAGGCTCCAAGGTCACATAATCCTGACTGCCTCCAGGAACTCATCTCTGACATACCTTATTCAAAGGCTGCCTGGCCTTTCTTGTGCACCTGTCATGACAGGGAACTCACTACCTACCTCAGTAGACAGCCAGCCCATGGATCGCACTCTTATTGTTAGTTAGAAAGCTCTGCTCACATTGAGTGACCTGCCAGGAACAACCCATGCTGTGATGGGAAGAACCAGATGGGGAGTTGAGATTCCTGGGCATAAGATTAGGGTAACTGTAAACCATCCCCTCCAGGATTTTGATTTCTTTCTTGTGAAGATTGCCGCTCTGGTTCCTTTTCCCACTAATACTCTTTTATTTTTTTAAGATTGATTTATTTTTTGGCTGTGATAGGTCTTTGTTGCTGCACACAGGTTTCTCTAGTTGTGGAGAGCGAGGGTTATTCTTTAATGTGGTTCATAGGCTTCTCATTGCAGTGACTTCTCGATGCAAAGCACAGGCCCTAGGCATGTGGGCTTCAGTAGTCGCAGCATTTGGGCTCAGTAGTTGCAGGTCACATGCTCTAGGCCACTGGCTCAGTAGTCATGGCACAAGGGCTCTGTGGCATGTGGGATCTTCATGGACCAGGGAATGAACCAGTGTCCTCTGCATTGCAAGCTGGATTCTTAACCACTGGGCCACCAGGGAAGCCCAAACATTCTTATTTGTTTCTTATTTGGTTTCCTTTCCTCCAAGAGTCACCTTCGAGGACGTTGAGAACTGAACTCCTCTTTGAGTGTGGGCATTGCCATTTGTCTTGGTGCATGATCTCGGCTGCTCATCCAGCCATCACCTCTTGAGACATCCCCATCTGCCCCAGCCCTCTCTGAGGAAATGCACCCCAACACAGACCTCCAGGAGTTCCCGAAGCAGTCCTGAATTCCACAGATCCTGCCGCAGCCCATATCCCCATAGCTGCTTCACCCACCTCCTGTGACAATCCCCAGACCCTACACCAACATAAGCTGTCCTCTGACTTTCCAAAGATTTTGTAATTGCACAGCCATGAGACTTTCCCTGCCTTTGCCAATATCCCATTGATTTTCAAATAGGTGGACCTTCTGGCAGGAAGAAGAGGGAAAAAATAAAGTGGAAGAAATCCCCAAACAGGTAATTGGGGCTCAAGTTGCCTCTTTGGTTTGGAAAGGGTGTGGATGTGGGTAATCCTGCCCTGGTCTGAGAATCATTCCAGGCTGGCAGACTGGACAGCCCATCTCCATGGCAACTGTTGTTATTGGTAACTGAATGAGCATCTCCAACAACAGCCTCTGGAGCTGCTGATGGTTTTCCCTTCTAGATGAAAGTAAAAGGAGCCAGGGTCTTTGCTGATTGACTGTAAGTGCTGGCTCTTTGCCCCCATTTTGGGATCATCAATTGATATCGGGCAAGGTGAAGCCACTCTTTAATTATCTCTCTAGCCTCTGTGGCCTAAGAGGTGTGACAAGCTGACTTAACATGTATTTTCCAGCTTCTCTATGAGAAGCTTAGAAACCTGCTCAAGAGCATCTAGCTAGCAAGGTCCAGAACTTGAAACCTGACTTGTCTGATTCTGAAAGCCATGACTGTGACTGCATGGCTGTTGCACCTCTGTCCTTTAACTCTGAGGTCACATGTCAACTTTGTCAGACTTCCCTTGTGACACCATTGGTTTAACTCTTTGTGAGAACAGGTAGCATCTCATGGTGATTCATGGGCCACCATGAGGGTCCTTCTAGATGCTGTCTCACTTGGTTATCCTGCAATGGAATCAGTGGGATTGTAGGGAAGCAGAGGGTCGCTGAATTCGCAAGTCCATGTGCGGGAAGCACAGTGAGGCCCATCAATAGTAAACACTAGAGTTTGGAACACAGAAAGGTTTATTGCAGATTCATACAAGGAGATGGGTGCCTTATGCCCTAAGAACCCCAAAGCTAGTGAAAGCTTTCAGCAAGTCTCTTTAAAGGCAAAAGGTGAGGGATGGGCATGGTTGGTTGTTGCAGACTTCTTGGTGTCAGATCCTTTGTTTTTGAGGTCTGGTCATGGTCAGGTAATGATTTTGCCATAAATCTCCACCAGATAAATGTTATTCTCTGTCCTGACAAGAAAGGGCAAAGTCCCAAGGCACAACTTTCACCCTCCAAGGTCCGAGTCCTGGCTAAGAGGATTGCAGATCTCAGTTGGCAGCTCCTTCAGGGCCAGGTTCCCACACCCTGCCCAGCTGTCTTCCCTGAGAGAGCCAGGCATCCAACCCACCTCAGTCTCCTCAGGCAGCCCAGTTAGGAAGGCCAGGTCTCACAGACTGCAACGCATACAGATGGCCACTGCTAATAGGTTGCAGAGATAGGGATGGGGGAGAGGTTCACCTCCTCAAGGCCTGGGCCAAGGCTAGTGGAGGGCCTTAGTGAGGGCTCTGGAGCCCTGCAGGACATAGTCCCCAGTCTGCTTCCGGGCCTTCCAGCTCACCTGCTGGCTTAAGGCTGGGTAAGCTGGAGGGCCTCTAGGAGAAGGCCTGAATCTGCCTCTTACCTCACCCTCTACCTGACGACCACCACAACACCCACCCTTGCCTCAATCACTTCCGCAGTGGTCCCTCACCAGTGGGCAGGGCCCACTGCGGTGCTGGCCAGTAACTGAGCAGAACAACTGACAGTCACTCATTGACAGCCGTTGCTTGTGGGTGGGGCCTACTGAGGCACGGAGCAATGGCTGAGCGCGACCTGTTGCCTAGTAACAGTGTTGCGTGCGGAGTAATGAGGCGCAGCAATGGCTGCCTGCTAAGGGCTGTGCTCATCCTGCTCTGTGACAAGGGCACTTGCTCGCCCAAGCTGCCTGCTCTCCCCATCATACTCCCTCTTCTTCCCCGAAGGTGACGTACAATGAGGGAGAAATGAGATTCGGAGCTCGGTTATACAGGACCTTTGGGCTCTGCATTCAGTTTTACCATCTTTCTCTCTCTGAGTTCTCTTGTTTTACAGAACACCTCAGGCCCACTTCCATGGTTGCCCTTCCTAGATGAACTTTAGAATCACTTTTGCCAGGACTGGAACTAATCCACTGAGATTTTGAGTAGAGCTGTACGATGCCCATAATTGGTGAAGGCCCTGTAATACGGAAGTGAGGAAGAGCTCAGAGTGTGGCATCTGGCCATCCGTGTTCACAGTCTAGTATCCCTTCTTAAGAAGGACCCTCATCTTTCTTGATCTCTCAGTGGCCTCTGACAGAACTGACCACTCTCTCAATACTGAAAATTGCCCTCCCATGACTTCTCTAACCCCAACTTTCTCTGGTTTTCCTCTTGTGTTTCTGGCTGTTCCTTCACTGTTCCCTTTACTCTTCCACCTCTACTTGACCTCTAAAAGTTGGAGGGGTTCAAGGCTTGGTCCAAGGTGACATCATCCACTATGGCCATGGCTTCAGTTCTTACCTTTCATTCTTTATTTTACGGCTGAGTCGTATTCCATTGTGTATATGTACACCACATCTTCACCCATTCATCTGCTGATGGACATTTAGGTGGTATCCATGTCGTGGCTATTGTAAATAGTGCTGCTGTGAACATTGGGGTGAGTGTATCTTTTCAAATTAGTTTTCTGCAGACATATATCCAGAAGTGGGACTGCTGGATTATATGGCAACTCTAGTTTTAGTTCTTTAAAGAATCTCCATACTGTTTTCCATAGTGGCTGCACCAATTTTAAGATGATTTGATCATCATGAGGCCACCGTGCTGTGCGGAAGCCCAAACCATGCAGAATCCACATATCAGGGCTTTGGTTGACAGTCACAGAAGAGCCCAGCCTTCGGTCATTCCAGCCTAGGAGTCAGTGAGTGATGAAGTTTCTAGATGGTTCTAGAGCCCCCCAACTTCAGCCACTTAATCACCCTTAGCCATTCATGTCTTCCCAGCTGAGGTCCCAGACACTGAAGAACAGAGACAAGCCATCCTTGTGGTTCCGTATTTGAATTTCTGATGCACCGAAAGCATAAGAATAATAAAATGGCAGTTGTCTAGGCAGGTTTATTATGTAACAGTAGAAAACTGGGCCAGCATTTAGATCTTACAGACTTCAAGGCCTGCAGGTCTTTACCTCCAGCTGACACTCCATACATTGTCTCATCTCAGGGCCTGGAATATTCTTTTAGTTTTCTCCCTGCTCAGCTGGCCACCACTGACTCATCTTTCAATCTCAGCTCTAGCATCACTTTTGGTGGACACCTTTTCCAACCATACAGAGAAGGTCAGGCCCACCATGGGCTTCCATCACATGACAAATGTCTTAGTGACCTTTGGACCTTTTTTATTAGTTCTTCTGCACTGGACTGTGAGCCCCATAAAGGCAGAGCCCGTTCCTGGATCTCCAGCTCCTGGTAGACTTCCTGGCACACAGTAGGCATGCAGTGAATAATGGGTGAATGGAAGGGTGGATAAAGCTAGTATTATCATTGATACTGTTTGGTGGAATTATTTGAGAAGTATAATAGCTTCTGCTGTTGATTCCAAATTACAAGGGCTTTCTTGATGACATTTTTTACTGTGACCAGGGAACAGACAGGAAGGAAAGGTCTTGGGCTATGTGAGTTTCAGGGATGGTGGCATCAGGTAAGAGGAGAGTCTTAGGGCACAGCAGGGTAGGGTGGTCATGTAGGGTGCACACCGCATGTATGGCCTCTGTACAGGGGCCTTTGGACCTAACTGTCTAAACTCAGCCATGCTGAGTGGAGGAAAAGCCCATGCTCGACTTGATGGAGAACTTTGATAGGGTTCACTCACCCTCTCTGTGTCCCATTTTTATACAGGTGTTGCACAAGAGCCCAACAAAAGCCAGTTCTGGCTTTATGGATCTGTAGTAAAGATAGTCTAGAGACCAGGCAAAGTGGCTCATAAATGACTTTATGATCCAGGCGAAGTCAGTAGGGAGGGTTGCAGTTTGTAATTAAAAAAGAATTAACCAATTATATCCTCAATGCATTCAGTTCCTAATCCCCTTTGAAAAGGATCTTTAGGCATCTAATTGACATATTTTAAGAGACATATTGGCTAGTTAGACATCAATTGACATCCTTATTAAATATCAATTAACACATTCCCTGACTTGATATTTAATTAGCTTGCTGTAGCTATTCTTTTAAAAGTCAATTAAATGCTTGGAATATTCTTACAAGTTGACTCCACTGATAGCGATTATGTATGAATTCCTGTCATAAGTGGTTTTTACTTAATTGCAGGGCAAGCTGATTCTGAATATAGATTATCAGGCCTTTCAATAAGAATTTAAAAATCAATCATTAGGTATCTAATGAACCCTCTTCTCATTGCTGTTGTGAATAAAAGGCACGTCTGGCTCTGGGACTGTAGGCTCTTGTGCTTTCATTTGATTGTGAAAATGCTGGGTCAAACAGTCCACACCCCTGCCTCTACGTAAAACCATTCTTTATTTTTTGTTTTTTTAAATTGTGATAAAATACACACAGCATGAAATTTACCACCTTAACCATTTTAAGTGTACAGTTCAAAAGTGTTAAGTGCATTCACACTGTTGTGCAACCAATCTTCAGAACTCTTTTCATCCTGCAAAACTGAAACTACTTGTTAAACAATTCCCCACTCCCCCCTCCTCCTAGCTGTAGCAACCACCATCCTATTCTGTCTCTGTGAATTTGACTACTTCAGTTACCTCATGTAAAGGTTTTGTCTTTACATGACAAAGACATGGAGCATTTGTCTTTTTTGGCTGGTTTATTTCGCTTAGCATAATGTTCTCCAGGTTTGTTCATGTGTAGCAAGAGTCAGAATTCCATTCCTTTTTAAGGCTGAGTAATATTCATATATGGGCTTCCCATGCTGGCGGCTTGGTCTGGGGAGACGAAGGTCAGAAGGTGAGAGTCAAGGACAGACCCAGGTGTATTTGGTGGAGGAAAGGGACACCTATGAAGGCCCGCTTCTGGGTCTTTGGAGACTCTTTCTAGGCTGGGGGCGAGGAGTATGGGGAAGATTTCTCCCAGTTGATAAGAACACTGGGGCCTCCAAGAGTGAAGTGATTTGCCCAAGTTCTCTTCAGTAGCACGCATGCCCAGACGTTCAGTCGTGTCTGACTCTTGCGACCTCATAGACTGTAGCCGGCCAGGCTTCCTCCAGTTGGGGACGAACTCTGATGGCACTAGGTAAAGAACACGCTTGCCAATACAAGGGATGTAAGAGAAGTGGATTCAGTTTCTCGGTCAGAAAGATCCCCTGGAGGAGGATACCACTCCATTATTCTTGCCTGGAGAATCCCATAGACAGGAACCTGGTGGGCCACAGTCCACAGGGTTGCAAAGAATCAGACACGACTGGAGTGACTGGCACACACACATAGTAACTCAACAGCAGCAACAACGCAGCTAGAAGATCGTTTGACCACTTGGGGAGGGAATTGCACTGAGGAATATTTCAGGCTCCCAAGCAGCTCATGTCCACGGTCTTTGCATTGACTGTTTGGTTTGGTTTTTTTTTTTCTGTCTGAAAGACTTCTCCCATGTGCCTTCTCATCCTTCAGGTGTTAACTTCAATGTCACCTCCCAGAGAAGGGTCCCCCTTGATTACTCGTTCAAGGTAGGCTGCTGCTTCTCCTATCCTGCTATTCTCTGTTTCAGAGACCTATTTGATTCCTTCATAGCATTTTCCACAATTTGTAATTATTTAGTTTGTTTACTTAATTAATGCCTGTATCCCCAGGTAGAGACAAAGTTCTATTGCTTACCGTCTGTATCCCCAGTGCCTGGGACATAGTAGGTCCTCAGTAAGCATTTCTTGGATGGATGGATGGATGGATGAATGGATGGGTGAATGAATAGATAGATGGGTGGGTAGGTGTGTAGATGGGTGGGTAGACAGATTACTTCCCAGGGTTTCAGAGTCAAGCTTCTCCTCTGTGTGTTCAGGAAATAAATGTATGAGTATTCTCTTCAGAGAGCTTATCTATGTGTCATCTTCAGTTTCTGTGGACAAGAATTATGGCTTATTTTGGGGGAGTCACTGTGGTGAACTCATTAGGAGATAATTAGAAGATTTTATGTTTTACACCCCAGAATTAACCACATGAACTTTGATGAAAAGGAAAATCAAGAACTGGGTGAGTCCACTTGAATATAATTTCATACACCCTTTTAGCATATAGGCAGCTAATAAAAATGGTTATCATTCAAGTCCAAATCCTCTCTGAAGGGTCCTCCCTGGATGTCCCAAGAGTTCCAGCCAGCTTTTTTCAGAGTATGGCCCAAAGAACCCCAAATAGAGGTTTAGTCTGAGCTCTATTAGAGTGTAGACTCTGGGCCCCGTCCTGGACCCACTGAACCTTGGCAGTGGGCCCTGAATAGGGTATTTCTTTTTTAAGCCTTTTATTTTATATTGGAGTAGAGCTGATTAACAATGTTGGGATAGTTTCAGGTGGATAGCAAAGAGATTCAGTCATACATGTGCATGTATTCATTCTCCCCCAGACTCTCCTTCAAGATGGGGTAGTTTTGAAATACTCTGAGATGATCCTGGCTCCAGTACTGTTCATCTCTTCCAGAGAGTGTCAGTGCTAGGGCACCTGGGGGACCACCTAGTGCAGACTCTAACTGATGATGAAACTGAGGCTCAGAGAGGGACAGTGACTCACCTGAAGTCACACAGCAAAGCTGTGACAGAGTTCAGACTAGAACCTGCTCTTCCTTCTGCTAGATCTATAGCCTCTTCTTAATAAGCGTGAGAGAGAATGGAACTTAGGGTCAAAATAATCACAGTGCCCCCAACCTTAAGTTTATATTTGATTGTTAGTCTCAATTTTCTACAAATAATGTTTATCAAAAATTAATATTCTTTAGAATAGTCTGGGCTACCTCATGCCTTTTTATTCAAACCTTTTTTGAAACAGAACATCAATCCCTTTCAGATGATAATTAATTAAGACACTTGATGGTCCCTAGAGGTAGCCAGACACCCACAGAAACTTGGTAATCAGTTCAGAATACTGAGAGACGCAGTCTGCATTCCAGAATTCTCCTGACTCAAGGATTGCCAATGGGGACAAGAAGGGGAGGGACTGGAGAGGGACTAGTGTGGGCCCGGAGAGCTGACATGCCTCAGGCAGCCGCAGGGACCTCTTCATATATGTGGGCATCTTAGCCTTCCAACACTGTAAGAGGGGTGGAATTATCTCCATTTTACAAATTGAGGCCACTGGGAGTCTCAGACTGAGGCAAGTCTCCAGCACAGCGACATTTCAGGGGGTGTTAAGTCTGTATCACAGAAATAATCACATTCCCACCTGAAATCAAGGTGGGGATTTGTCTGTGTGTGTGTGTGTGTGTGTGTGTGTGTGTGTGACCCTTTGCAACTCCATGGACTGTAGCCCGCCTGGCTCCTCTGTCCATATACTGTCTTAAAAACATGTTTTGCCTGTGGTTTGACCAGTCCTTGCCCAGCATGCCTGGGTGGAGTGGAACGTGTTTATCCTGGGATGAACCACGGGAGAGGATGAGGAAGGGTCTGCAGAGTCAGGGCCTGGGATTGGACAGAGGCCAAGCTGCAGAGGACCTCCCTCATGGTGAATAGCTATTGTCTGTTTTGAATTATTTATAAATAACCTCCCCAGGAAGATCCCTTGGAGAAGGGATAGGCTACCCACACCTGTATTCTAGCCTGGAGAATTCCATGGACTGTATGATCCATGGGGTGGCAGAGTCAGACACAACTGAGCGACTTTCACTTTCCCTTTTAGAAAAGAGCCTGATGCTGGAAGGGATTGGGGGCAGGAGGAGAAGGGGACGACAGAGGATGAGATGGCTGGATGGCATCACTGACTCGATATGGACATGAGTTTCAGTAAACTTCAGGAGTTGGTGATGGACAGGGAGGCCTGGCGTGCTGCAATTCATGGGGTCTCAAAGAGTCGGACACGACTGAGCGACTGAACTGAACTGAACTGAACCCTGCTACACTGTTGGTGGGAATGTAATTGGTGCAACCATTGTGGAAAACAGTCCGGAGGTTTACCATATCATCCAGCAATCGCTATCCTGGGCATGTATCCAAAAAATATGTAAACTCTAATTGAAAAAAGATATGTGTACACCAATGTTCGCAGCAGCACTATTTACAATAGCCACGGTGTGGAGACCACCTAAATGTCCATCAACAGATGAGTGGATAAAAAGATGTGGCATATATATGTGTATACACACACACACACACACACACACACACACACACACATGTATATACACATATATGTGTATACACACATATGTATATATACACATATATGTATATACACATATATGTATATACACATATATACATATACACACATGTATATATGTATATATACATACATATGTATACACATATATGTATATATACATATACATATGTATATATACATATACATATATATAGTAGTATTACCCAGCCATAAAAGGAAATATTGCCATCTGAAGCAACATGCATGGACATGGACATACTAAGTGTAGTAACTCAGGTAGAGAAAGACAAATACTATATGATATCACTTATATGTGAAATCTAAAAAAAAAAAAAGAACACAAATCAACTTATTTATGAAACAGAAACAGGCTCATAGACATAGAAAACACAGTTATGGTTACCAAAGGGGAAAGGGAGAGAAGGATGGGATTAATTATTGTACGTAAAATAGATAAGCAACAAGGATTTACTGTATAGCACAGGAACTATATTCAATGCCTTATAATAACCTAGAATAGAAAAGAATCTAAACGTGTACACTTGAAACTAACACAATATTGTAAACCAACTATAGTTGAATAAAATAAATTTAAAAATTAAAATATTGTTAATTATTTGAAAAAGAATAAAGCACAAACCTCCCTTTACATCCATTGAGGCCTTCACGGGGTACTATACACGGTCACTATTAGCTGTTTGTTCATTCGTTCATTCAACAAATATTTCTTGAGCACCTGTTATGTGCTAGGCACTGTCTCAGACCCTGGGGAAACAACAGTGAGCAAGCCAAAGCCTTGTGGGTGGCACAGTCAATAAACCAGCAAGCGAATGAATGACTCACTACTGTGACCCATACAATGAAGGTGACCAGTGTTGCTGAGGTTCGGGTGTCAAGGAGGCAGCCTTCTTCTGATGGGGCGGCCAGGGCAGGCCTCCATGAGGCATGGAGGTTGCAGGCTGAGAACTGAAGGAGGGGTTGGAAGGAGCCAGCTGTTTGAAGATGGAGAGGAAGAGGGGTCCAGGTGTGTGCTCAGGTTCAGAGGTGAGAAAAAGCTTAGCGTTTGTGGAGCCCAGAAGAGGCTTAGCTTCCTGCATTGTGGGGTGGGAGAGTGAGGCTGTGGAGGGAGGGGCAACTAGGTCTGGGCCAGGTCAGCAGGACCAGAACCCAAGGGCATTTCAGCCCTGGGCAAGGAAAAGCGGGGCTGCTGTCGGAGGGGCCAGAGCAGAAGAGAGACACCAAGTGACGTATGCCGTACAAGAGCCCCCTGCCCCAGAGTAGACTGGAGGGGGGCCAGGCTGGCGGCAGGGAGCCAGGTGAGAGATGCTGGCGGCTTGGTCTGGGGAGACCAAGGTCAGAAGGTGAGCGTCAAGGACAGACCCAGGTGTATTTGGTGGAGGAAAGGGACACCTATGAAGGCCGGCTTCTGGGTCTCTGGAGACTCTCTCTAGGCTGAGGGCGAGGAGTATAAAGAAGATTTCTCCCAGGTGATAAGAACACTGGGGCCTCCAAGAGTGAAGTGATTTGCCCAAGTTCTCTTCAGTAGCACGCATGTTCAGACGTTCAGTCATGTCCGACTCGCGCGACCTCATAGACTGTAGCCAGCCAGGCTTCCTCCAGTTGGGGACGAATTCTGATGACAGGCAGGTGGAGGCCTTCCTGGAGAAGATGAGGGAACCATAAGACCAAAGACAAGCTAGTAGGGATGTGAGAAATGCAAGTGAAGGTGGAGAGTGTTAGCAGGTGAGTAGTAGGTGAAAGAGACCCTCCAGGTGAGAGGTTGGAGGCGTACTAGGATAGATTAGAAATGAGCTGGGGTGGTGGGTAGGAGACCTGGCATGTGTCCCCACTTCTAGCCCAAGTGACCATCACAACCCCTCTGTAGGGTCCTTCCCTGTGACTGAAGCTTGAGGGAGTACCTATCAGCATTCCCCATTCATGGCCAAAATAATCTCTCCAACCCTCTATTTCGTTTATTTTTATATGCTTGCTTGCTAAGTCGCTTCAGTCATGTCTGACTCTTTGCAACTCTGTGGACTGAAGCCCGCCAGGCTCCTCTGTCCACAGGATTCTCCAAGCAAGAATACTGGAGTGGATAGCCACTCCCTTCTCTAGGGGATCTTCCTGACCCAGGGATTGAACCCAGGTGGATTCTTTACCATTTGAGCCACCAGGGAAGCTGATGTTAAAAAGTAGTTAATTATTTAAATCAGCATACTATTAAGGATTGTATTACAAAGTTCACATTTAATACAGTTGTTATATAGAGAGACATTTCTTATCTTGCTCCTTTAAAAAGATATACACAAAATTGATTTATTTTGGATTAATTATGTAACAAACTACACAGTTTGCTCACAAATATATCTTTCAATGATGTACTATGTTTGATTTGGGGGAACAAATGCATATTAAAATGTAGACTGACATTTAATCATGTGTTCATCATCGACGCAGAGAGAAATGGCTTCCATAGCCTAATGCTAGGGAGCTTTGTATTTTGTGGCTGAAATGAAAGCCACCAGCTTACTAGTTCATTTTGAGGTTTTTGTTTCAAATTGACTAAATAGGAGAGACGGCTTTGGGCTGGTGTTGGTGAGACCTTCTCAAGGAACACATTGTGGGTTCTTTTTTTGCCTCCAATATGTGAAAATTCAAGTCAGTTGTACTCATCCCTGAATTTTCTCTCTTGGTGGTTGGTTTTTGAGGGGCCTGAAGCCTATAGATGTGCTTTATAAGGAGTGTGATCAGATGGAACCAATGGGAGTTACCATGAGGCACATAAGTGACTTATCATCAATGCAACAATGCTCATTCACTTGTGTCTCAAATTCAGAGTCCCCAGGCTTCCTGTCCTTAACCAATATTCTGTTGTGGGTATAAATGAAACAGAGTATGAGTAAGAATGTGAGCAACTTGAACTGTCATACAGCCAAGATCCTACAAACAAATGTTAATTGACAACAGTGGTAATGCTCACAAGATGCCTGTAATAGTGAATGGAGTGTGTTGGGGTTGGCCAAAATGTTCATTCTAATTTTTCTGTACCATCTTACAGAAAAACCCAAACGAACTTTTTGGCTAACCCACTGCTAAATACCCAATAAAGGTTAGCTATGGGGGTGATGATTAATGCTCTGAAGGAGAGGAGAGTGGTGCTGAATGTATAGAGAATGAATAGAGGGTTTGGTCCAGAGAGGGAGGACCCTTGAGCTGAACTCCAGGTGACTGTGAGCAAACTGATGAACCTTTTTCAGGTTCCACCTGGAACATGAAGATGGTTAAGGTGCCTGCCTCATCAGTTTGTTGTGACGTTTACATGAATAAGATTTGCAATGTCCTTAGAATGTTCTGAATACATGGTAAGAGCTAAAAGGCTACTTAAAAAAAAAAACATCATCCTCATTTATCATCATATTGTTATATAGTCAAAGCAGGCTTCCCAGAGGAAATGACTTTGAGCTGAGCTATGAAAGATGAGTCAGTGGTAGCTAGGCAACAACGGGGACAAGCATCCCAGGCCGAAGGAACCCCACTCCTTCCCGGCATAGGGCTTTTTGGAACATCGGACTTTTTGTTCCTTCGGCGATGTTCCAAAAAGCCCTATGCCGGGAAGGAGTGGGGTGTGCTGGGGAGCTGAACAAAGCTGGAGCAGCTGCAGTAGAATGACCGAGGGGGAGCGTGGTGAGAGGAGAGGCTTGAGACACTGGCTGGGGCCAGAGCAAGTAGGGCCGGGAGCCTTTCCTAGGGCTTCTGGTCTTCAGCCTGAGGGAGTGCCCACAAAAGGCTTTAAACTGGGGAGTGTCCACATCTGATTTGTAGTTGTGGTTTGAATAGCGCCTCCTAGTGGCTTCGGGGAGAATGAGTGGGACCAGCTGATGGCGGGCTTTGATGGGGTGAAGCTGATAGTGGTGGAGGGAGGGTATCCATTGTGTACACTCATCTCAGCCTTGCATGCCTTCCACTCCAGCCACCCAGCGTGGAGGGGCAGAAGAGAAGGGGCAGACCTGATCCTGCCCTCCTGCCTGTGAGCCCAGCTTCTAACCGATCCTCCCCCAGCAATGATCTTGGGCCAGTAGGTTAGGTAAGAGGGTGTGCCGGGCACTCCAGCCTGGCCTGTGTGCAGGCATCACCTCTCCAAGGAACCTGGGGATGGGGGTTATGCTGGGGCTGCGATGCAGTCAGTGGGGACCTTGACACCTTCCACAGCAGAGAGGTGTGGGATAAAGCCAACACCCTGCATCTCTTGGTTCTACCTTTAGCTGCTGAGGCCAGAGTTCCCTGCCAGTGGGTAGCTGACCCAGATCCCAGGCCCTCTCGTCAGTGAAGGCATCTCTGCCAGCAGACCTCTGTGTCTTCAAGGCAGAATAAGAACTAATGAGTCAACCAGGAAAATGGGTAGAGGTCCATTAAGTTGGACTCAACTGTTGCTGAAAGCCTCTGTCACCAATGTCTGCTTTAACTGTCACATGGTTCCAGGATGAGACCTGGTTGGAGTCACCTAACTTGCCCTTCCCTCCACCCCACAGCCAGGGATTCACTCTCTCATTCATTCAACAAACAATTATTGAGCACCTACTATGTGCCAGGCACTGTTCTAGGCTCAAAGGAGAAACCAGCAAACCAAATAGACAAAACTTTCTACATTCCATCTCAGGGAGACCGACTAAACCATAAACATAAAAAAGAAGCAAATGAAATGTGTTAGAAGATGGAAAGTACTATGGAAAAAATAGAGGTGGATAAGAGGAATTGGGAATCTTGGAAGATTAAGCCAACAAGACTTCCTAATGAATTGGATGTGGAATGTGAGAGGAAAAGAGGAGTCTGGCGTGACCCCCCCAGGTTTTGGCACGAGCAACTGAAGTACAGAGTTGCCGACATTTGAGTAAGGGTGTGGGTGGAGCAGGGTTGGGAGATGACCAGGAGACCAGTTTGGACATCTGGGGGTTGAAAGCCCTCCTAGACATTGAAGTGGAGATGCTGCGAGTGAGCTGGGTTTGTGGAGCGCGAGTTGGGGAATGAGGCCTAGGCTGGAGCTGCTGGCATGAGGGGATATAAAGCCATGGCCTGGATGGTCACCAGGGGCTAAGCCTCGGGGTTGTGGGGAGAAGAGAAGGATCACGGAAGAGGCAGACAAGAGTGGCCGCTGAGGTAGGAGGACAAGTAGGAGAAACATGATGCAATGGGTCTAGTAAGTCAGGTTTAGGAACTCGGGGGTCATCCGTGGCCTTGTGGGAGGAGCCTGGCTGCAGTCATTCTCCAGGTCTGGGTGACTTACCTTTTGCCTTCATGGCAGGCTGAATGACAGCCCCCAGATATGTGAGGTCCTAACCCCTGGAACCTTTTGTTACCTAACACTGGGAAATGGTCTTTGCATGTGTGATTAAGGATTTTGAGACTGGAAGACTACACTGGATTATCTGGCTGTCTTTGTAATAGAGGCAGAGGGAGATCTGATGCAGAGATGACAGTGTGACCACGGAGGCAAGCTCGGAAGGGTACAGCGCAAGTTAAGGAATGCGGGCAGCCCCCTGAAGCCGGAAGAGGCAAGGATCGGATTCTGTCCTAGAACCTCCAGAAGAAGTGTCCCCTTGCTGACATCCTCGTTTCAGATGTCTGGCCTCCAGACCTGTGAGAGAATGAACGTCTGCTGCTTTACACGCTGAGTTTGGGGCATTTTGTTACAGCAGCGACAGGAAACGAATACACACCATCTGGCCTCAGATAGCTCAGCCCGTAACTTAGTCATCATCATCATCTAACAATTGTAACAGCCCCGCACCAGACTGCCTTCTGCCTGCCCCACAGCCTTGCCCTCCACACACAGTCTGATGGGTAATTCCTGCCTGAATTCCCTCAGCACAGAGCCCACATTTAATAGCCTGAAGCACAGGGCTTTTCCTGACATGGTCCCTGAGTACTTCTCCACCCTCATTTCTCACCACTTGGCCCCATCACTTTTGCTCCAGCTGTATCAACCTCCCTGCAGTTTTCAACTGTTACATGTTCTCTCAAACTTCTGAGCCTTTGCACATGCTGTCTCCTTTGCCTGGAACACTCTTCCTCCCTCCAGATATCTACATGGCTTGTTTTCTCATTGACTTCAGGTCTTTGCCCCAAAGAACTTCCTTGATGATAGATTTCAAAGCACAACCCCCTCTTCACCTTCACATTTCTGATTCCCTTGCCCTATCCTGTTTCCCCCCCATGGTACTTATCACTGCCTCTGTACTTAACTTCTTTGCTCATTGCCTGTTGCCCCTGATTAGAATTAAATTTCACAGGAACAGGGAATTTAAACTGGGTGGCTTAAACAATAAACATTTACTTCTCACAGTTCTGGAGGCGCCGGCACTCAGAGTCAATGTCTGCTGAGAACTCTGAGCTCTTCATCCCCTTATGAGGGCCCCAGTCCCATCTTGGGGTTCTACCCCATGACCTCTTCCAAAGCTAATCACCTCCCAAAGGTCCCACTTCCAAACACCATCACACTGGAGATTAGGCTTCAACATATGCATCTGGGGGGATACAAGCATTCAGTCCACAGCAGGAGGATTTGGGGGTGATCTGGAAGGTCTCCTGGGATTTTCAGCCCCTTGTAATCCTTGAGATCAAAGATTCCTCTCCTTTCTGAGCCATGGATCTCTTCACTGAGCAAATCTTTCGAATGCATAAGATACATTAGATTACAAAGGATTCTAATTATTTTGAACTGCAGTTATCAAAATATTAAAAGAAGACATTTTGATATAGTAATAAATTTGTTTCTTTATTAATGAACTAAATACCAAGAGCTAGGGACGGGTCTAATTAGTACCATAATTTTGAAGTGGTGATGAGCATAAGTGATCTTTCAAGATAGCAGCAGCAACAGCAATGTGATATGAAAATATCTGTGATTTCTCTTGGTGACAAACACTCACAGGCACTGCAAACACTGTGGTTTGTCATTGGTCTTCACAAGGGAAGGAAACGGTGAATTTCAGTAAGAGGTGAGTAAAGAGAAAGACGATTTTTTTTTTTTTTTTTGAACATCCAAACCAGCCCTCTCCATTAAGATCCCGTCATTAATGGAATTAGAGGTGAGCTGGGAAGAGCTTGGACCCCATGATTTTTCAGTGTGGAGAGATGCTTCTGACAAGTGTACCCCTCTGGCTAAAATGGGGGCTCCCGGGGGCAGCCTCTTCAACAGGCAAACCTGAGCACTGTGTTGGGCCTGCCCCTTCCTCCCTTCAACCCCTGGGAGTCACAAACCGTCCGTTCTCAGGAAGACCAAATATAAACATTTCGAGATTATCTCAAGAACAAGATGTTTGTTTACTTTGGAAATTGCAGACATGGCAAAGCACTCAAGCCCACAACTGCAATTAATAAAAATTTAGGTCAATCTTTCCTGGGGCGAAGCTACATCTCGATTTTAGAGACAAGACCAGTGTTTTTCTTGTTTTGTGTTCAGGTAACATTATGTTGTTTATCTGTTCTGAGTCATAGATATTTGTATTGCTTTTTTCCCCTTCAGTTATACAAGCATTACATGCTCATTGTAAAAAATTACAAACACTGCAGAAAGTGAAATTTCCTCCATTGTAACCTCTTCCCCAGAGAGAACCACTGATAACGGGGCAGAATGCATCACGGGCGCCTTTGTCATCACATGTGTGCTTCCTCACATTACCACTCATTTAATTCTTTTTTTTCCAAATAGCGTTCTATGAAAATTGTTCTATAACTTGTGCTTTTCACCTAAAATACCACAAGTGTTATTTGCCTATATGTCTGTCTCCTTAACTGGAATTTGGGGCTTAGAAGGGGAAGATATCTATGTTTTAGTGAAAGTGAAAGTTATTCAGTAGTGTCCGACTCTTTGTGACCCCATGGACCATATAGTCTATGGAATTCTCCAGGCCAGAATACTGGAGTGGCTAACCTTCCCTTCTCCAGGGGATCTTCCCAACCCAGGGATTGAGCCCAGGTCTCCCGCTTTGCAGGTGGATTCTTTACCAGCTGAGCCACAAGGGAAGCCCAAGAATACTGGAGTGGGGAGCCATTCTGTGCTTTACCAATCTTTATAAATCTAAACCCTAGCCAAATAAATTGTACATAATAGGATTCAACAAATATTTGCTGAGCTAATAACCAAATGAATGACTAAGGGAACTTTTTTCAAAACTATGTCATGAACACCTTTTGGTGTTTGTCCATTGATGGATATTTCTTTGCTACAGGGTAGCTGAGAATTACATTGTGTGGATGTGATTAACTTTCAATAACCACTACTGGGTACTTGAACTTGGGCTGCTTCCAACGTTTTAAGCTTATATCTATTCTGCGCTGAATATCCTTGTAACATATATATTTTTGCTTACTTCGTAATGCATTTTTTTAGACTCAGAGAAAGATTTATTTTGATAGGTATTGCCAAATTTCCCTTTCTCTAGGTTGTACCAACTTTTTTTTTTTTTTTGGTTGTACCAACTTATAATCCTATCACCAGAGAATCTGTTTTTCTGTTCCCTCACTGAGTATTTAAAAAAATAATATACTTTGAATTTTCAAGCTAATAGAAAAGTTGCTGGAGAACTCCAAAGAACTCCCATAGACCCCCTCACCCAGATTCTCAAATTAACATTTTTATCACGTCTGTGGTCTCTTTCTCCATGATTCTTTTTCTGAATCCTTGGAGGGCAAGCAGCAGACATAACATCCCTCATCTCTAAACACTTGCAGTGCATATTTCCCCAAACTAAGTTCATTCTGCTACACAACCCCCATGCAACCCTCCAAATCAACGACATTGCTACAGGCACCACCATCTGATCCACAGAATCACTTGTGCCGACTTTGTGCCTTTTCTCTTCTTGTCCAGGATGTTCTCTAAGAATATGTATTGCATTCAGTTCTTAGGCATCTTAAGTTTCCTCCAATCTGGAGCAGTTCCTCCATTTCCCCCTGTCTTTTGAGTTCTCAACAGTGCTAAGGGGTACGAGTCTTAACATTTTGTAGGATGACCCTCAATCCAAAGCTGCCTCATTCCCTTCATTCCATATTCAGGCCATGCTTCCTGGGCAGAAGGACCACAGAAATTACGCTGTGGTCAATGAGTGCACCATGGGGCTCCCCTGGTGGCCCAGTGGTTAAGATTCCGTGCTTCCAAAGCAGGGGATGTGGGTTTGATCCCTGATTGGGTAACTAAGATCCCACAAGCTGAGTGATGTGGCCAAAAAAAAAAAAAAATCAGTGCCCCATATTAGGAGGCACGTGGCAGTGCTTCATCCCACCTGGAGTTGTTAAACTTGGTCCCCTGGTCACATTGGCGCTTGCCAGCTTTCTCTACATAAACTCACAATCCCCTTTTGTAATGGATCTGTATGTTGTGGGTAGGCTCTCTGAGATTATGTCAATATCCTGTTCCTTGTCAAATCTCCATGGATTATTCCTGATGGATCAACCACCTCTGTGCCTGTTGCCAAATGGAGATTTTCTATTCCCATCACTCCATCTACATGTATTAGTTGGCTTTCTATTGTAAGGAAAAACTTTTCCCCTTTTTATTTGTATCGCCAAGAGTTCATGGATTCTTGTTTTATAATCAATTTCTAATATTGTTTATTTTCATGCTTATCGTGTCCAGCAGGAGCCCCTTCAAGGACAAAGTGTCTCCTGTGGCCTTTTTGACATGCCTCCATGTTTCACTGATCATTTCCTTATTTCTTGGCACAATGAGAATCTCTAGGTTCATCTTCTCCTCTTGTATTTTCCCGGCCTCAGCCTTGGAATCAGCCGTTTATTTGATTAGTTTTTATTCATTTCGGTGGAGGATGGTAATAATACTTAAAAACCAAGATATGCATGCTCAGTGTGCTTGTTGCTATTAGGATGTCGTTGCTTCTGTCCATCTATTGCTTGGTCATCTTGGAGTTGGTGATGAACAGGGAAGCCTGGCATGCTGCAGTCCATGGGGTCACAAGGAGCATAAAGGACTGAGCAATTGAACTGAACTGAACTGACCTATCTCTACCTATCTGTGTATGTATCATCTATCTTTGGATCCATTTACCTTTGTGTAACTATATACACACATAGTCATTTATAAATTATTTCTAATGTATTTCTATGTATATTACAGAACCATGAGTTTATATCCATACCTCTAATTCCAATCCAACATCTCAAGGTTCTTCACAGGCTTTGCTTTTTATGTTTGTAAATATCTTCTTAGGCTGTGAAAATCTTGGCTCTTGTTATCCTCAACATTTTTCTTTATTTCTTTAATTGATTTGCTTATTTGCTTAATGTCACCTGCCTCCCAACCTTGCCTTCTGTCTTCTTTGCCCACCAGCTCAGCATCCCCGTCGTCATCCTGCAGCTTTGGCTGCTGTGACTGTCAGCTCATGTCTCCAGGCTAACCCCGCAAGCCTCCCCTACCACTCAGCTTCCTCGGTCATCCGGCCCCACAGGCCCCAGGACCTTAGCATGACCACCCTCCCCGCCATGCCCTTGGCCACTGACTAGTGTCTCCGTCCTTTTACCGCACCCCCCCCCCCAGTATTTTCAGTTACTAAATTTTGCCAATCGTAGAGTTTCAAAGAGCTGTCAATGTTGTAATTTGCATTCTTTAATCATCAGTGAGGCTGAGTATCTTTTTATGTTATTTCTTACTTGAAAGGCTTACTCATTTATTTTGCTCATTTTCTACGAAGTTCAGCTATTTTCTTATTGATATGAAAGACTTCTTTGTACAGTAGAGACCTCGGCTCTTCTGTATATATACTGCAGTTTGTCTTTTGATTTTGTTTATGGTGCTCATTACCATTTTAAAATGTTCTATGATAAAATTAACCTTTTTTAGGGTGTCCTATTCCTCAATTTTGGTGTATTTTCCTAGCATTTTAATTATTTAAAAATATGTCAACCATTGATCTCTGGAATATATTTTGATATTAGGAGGGTAGCTGGGTTTTTACCCCCCAAAGAGCCAACCAATTATCCCACCATCTGTTTACTGTATAAACCATAATCTTCTCACTCACTTAAAACGCTGCCATTATTATAAATTAAACTTCAATATATTTTTGGCTCCAAATTGGATTCTCCATTCTGTTTCACTGATTTGTCTATTGCCTTAGGCAACCTATCTCATTATTGATTACTGTAGTTTTATAGTACATTTTAATACCTGGTAAGGAAAATGCCCCTTTATTGTTTTTTTCTTTTAAAGGATTTTCACAGCTCTGTACATTTATTTTTCTTGGCAAAACTTAGAATTATCATGTTAAGATCACAAAGAGTATTTTTGAGTTTTTAATTTGGATTGTGTTAAATTTTATATGATTTGGGGAAGAATTTATATATTTTGATGTTAGGTTCTATTTAGAAAAAGGTATCTATTATTATTCATGCAAATCTTTTTTATATTTTCTGTACCTATGTGTGTTTTATTTTCTTCTGCATTAAAGATTCTGCCCATTTCCAGTTATGTTCATTCCTAAGTATTTTCTTGTTTTTGTTAGTATTGAGAAGTGAGTCTTTTATTCCATAGTATTTTCTGACTAGTTTTTACTTGTATATGTGAGTATGCTGACAGGAAATAGCAGCCCCTGATGTATATAAACACATGGGCTTTGGAATGGGACTACCT